CTCTCAAACTGGCTTGGGGGCCGAGTAACTCCTCCCCGTGGAATTTGAATTTTGATTTTGCTATCTTTTTGCTTATTTTCTAATTATCATGATATTTATCTTCTTCTTTCCTTTTTCTCTTTTTGTTCTAAGTAGTTATCTACTATGGTATTTTTACTGATACGGTTTTTGTATGTGTCGGTTGCTTCTTTTTTTCATTTCTATTTTTTTTTTCAAAATTGCACAATACAATACAGGGATACAACACAAATAACAGTTGATTTCAAAAGTGTTGAGGACCTGAAAACTTATTCTCGTTCATAGGGGTCGAAGTGTTGGAATAAGTCCTTCAGAGGTAAGAAAAATTTCAACGTTGGGTGGGAAAAAGAAAATATTCAAATAACAAGTGTGACCATGCACATGAAAATCAAAGATGCATACGGTGAAGGAATATAAATGGGGATATTTTGAACAGCTTTATCGCTCAATCAGTTTACTCCCAGAAGTTACCAACAAGTGGCTACATTTTATAGCCTTTACTCATTATCCGGGAAACAAATATAATGAAAATACTCATCAAGTTGTCATCAAGTACAAGTTTTTATTTTGATCTCACACCAAACTCCCGTTACTAATTAAATTACAAAGAAATGAGTTGCTGCTAAAGGGGAGAATTAACAATCAGATATTGGGTGTTGAAGCATTATAAGAATCGTTGTCTTTTAAATGGAATATTTGAAATAAATAGCTTGCTTATAGGTTACTGAAGAAAATACGTAAAAGGTTGTTATTTAGTCATGACGAGTGTTAATTAAGAGTTTTTCTGCGGACATACAGCGTAAGACCAATACCTGATCTTGGTCCTTGACAGGTGGGATCATACAGAGTATCCACGCCAAAACTGTTGACGCCAGAATATTCAGGATTATGACCACGATAACACATTCCGTGTCCGAGACTTAGGGTTGAGTAACAATCACAGTTATCGTCATCCAACAGCACCGACTTGACTCCATTCTCCTCACGGTACATGAATGCACGTTGGTCATATTTCGGCTCGCTACCGTTCAGCACTTCTGGATTCCATGGATTCCATGCAGGTGCACTGCCTACACTCTTCCAATGTTCTACCTCCTGGTGATCATGAAACGCCTGCCAAGCTGCACCTGCAGTTGAAGCGTTAGAACTGAAACTCCACTTGTACGTGGTACCTTCTGAGTCAACTGAAAGCATTTCAGTGTGATCTGCTTCAGCATCTGCAGGGAGCCGACCAAAGCAGTACGGATCACGTGGCTCGCAGTAACCAAAGTCGTAAGCAAGGACATCTTTTTCATCTGATGGCCACAAGGTACCAACGTCATACCACCAAAAGGCTATCCAGTCTCCATCGGCGGACGGAAGAATTCGACCTACGAGTGCAAACAATGAAACACGCTAAAAAGGCCTGGACGTACCACGAAGAGGTAACTAAACCTGGCCAACGATTTGTATGACTCTCTTTTTAGCTAATTTGGTTTGAAAAAGTAACAACTTTCATAGCGATAGCTCAAAAGCTTTTTATCGAATCTATCGAGTTTACGATAACATCTGCATTTGTTTCATGACTCCAGTGACATGATACCTTAACCCTGTAACACCTAGGATCTCCGCAGCAATAATCCCTATCGTCCGCCATACCATTCTTATAATGTCAGTTTAGATAATTTGTTATTGAATCAACTATTAATCCCCTAGTCAATATTTTAATTTCTTTATTCTCATGACTTGTCTGCTTAAATTTCTTGCTTGAAAATCTGTCTTGGTTACTGATAAGAATAAAAGGGTTAAGGGCTTATACCTATCCACCAAGGGCGTTGAAAAATTCAGCCGTGTTACATTCGTCTGCCTATCACAAAAAGTCTTAGCTTTCAAGTTATGACTCACATGGCTTTCAGAGTCCTCTTTCGTCAATTCTACATGCATTAATAAGCCAAATTCAACTTCAGCGATCATGTATTTAAAAAAAGTAAGCCTTGCATTAAACACGAACCGAGAGCAGCCGGTTAAAAACTATTTTCTTTTTGTACGAAACTTGAACCGCTCTACCTCACCTTCACAGTTTTTCAAACCGTTGTATTCCCAAGGGCAACGACATCGGTAGGTATTTTTTTGGTAGTCTGGGATACATTTCTCCCTGTTTAAACATGGTTCATTGTCACAAGGGCTCTGCAGAAAAGACAGGCAATTTAAGCGTAACAAGAATTCTGCATTGCTATAACCATTAAATTCTAATCACAGGCTTAAATCCCAACAGTTCAGCGTTCAAAAACTACTCAGTTCGCCACTTTCTTATTTAGGCATTAACAGTAGAAGGCTTATAACGGAAGACGACAGTAGAGGTCCACCGCGGGCGATGAATAAAACAAAACTTATTGAATGGACCCCAGTTACTTCAGTAGATTGCCAAACAAACCAAAAAATTATTCCTCCTGGAGCGGACACCTTTTCCCAGTTTATCAATTCCATCCAAAACAAACTTTTGTTTCGTTTCACGTATAATACGATTGTCGGTGACGAGACAAATCTCACCAAATCATCACTGCTTTGTAAAAACACTCATGTCCTTTCGTTAAACGGTGATTGGGGATCATTTGGCCGAAGGGTAAAAAGGAAACTCTTCCATATTTTCTTCAATCGCTAAACCACATGAATAAATAATAGCCTTAGTTTGGCGTGAAAACAAGCAGGCATAGATGTCTGTGGATATTTTCAGTTGAGAGAGGCGAACATTTTCCGAGAACGAAGCTGTGAACTTTGAGGAGCAGATTATGTCCAAAGAAAAAATGGAAGAGCACATTTTCATGCCTTATGGAGGATGTTGAGCTATTGTCTTTCATAAGCTCGCAATAAAACTTTTACAAACAGTGTCCCGTCGAAAACAGATGTTGATTTTCAGAGTGACTTTTTGAAAGAAAAGTTGATTTCATTGGATGATATCGTTGTGGGTCATTAATTTTGGGAAAATTAAGGAGTGATAGATTTTCTTAAACAAAAGTTTCGCGATTTAAGTGAAACAGGTAAAGCTCGTTTATTAACTAGGGCAGCACGGGCATTGCATTTAAATATCTTACGCTAAGGACTCTTTATGTTATCCTAAGAATTCCTCTTTGACTTTTTGTAAAACTGAACTTTAAAAAGTTCAATTTTGATAAATGGTTTTTAAAAGATAAAGATTTAGAAATTGCCCCGCGCCAAGAAACTTTGAAGTTTATACCTATTAAATTCAAGTTATCAAGACATTTATTGTGGTTCATGCTACAGAGGTGATGTGTTGATTAATGTTTTGAGAACTATTTTTGACTTACGATGCTTTTTTCTTTTTGCTTGTACAAATAATATGGCATAAAAAAAATCGCATTTAAGCAAACTGATGCGGTTTCGAAAGTGATTTGAATTTAACCCTTTAATAAGACTTTATTTAGAAAAGTACTCTCTTCTTTTCCTGAAAAGTCCGAAAGAAATGTAAAATTTGTTGACTACATTTTCGCCTACTTGGTCATCAGAAAAAGTTCGTAAAGGTTGATAACAATATGTAGCAAAATCATGTCTGGCAAGACATTATAAAGAGGTTATAATTCCGTGATGTTTGGTTCTTATTCAAAACGCTTAAAATGGGCACAACTTTCTCTTACCTTTAGCGAGAAGTGCACAAATGCCTCATCGAACTTCATCTTTTCAGGAGAATCGTGCTTGTTAGACTCCAATAGCTGACACTCGGCACCCCCATTTCCGCCATAATTGAGTGATGTACAGCTTTCGTGAACCAAACATCTCTCTAAGCATTCTGCGTACTCATTGGCAGTGCTGGACTGTAGCTGGTTGGTATCCAGTCTTTGCTTTTCGTGTATGGCAAAATTTGCGAAGCTTATGCCATCGGCAGAATCTCTAACAATTTGCTGCGTTGTCAGAGATATGGAGAAGAGAAAAATAGTAGAAAAGGAGCGGATTATCGAAATTGCTTCCAGATGCGTCATGATCAGCGATGCCTATCTGGCGACTGAGAGAAGCCCCGGAAACTCTTATTAGAAACTAGAAATAATTCTTGACGTCATCTGTAACTATAGAGACAAAAGAGTGGCGTCATTCGCGTCAAATTGTTGTTTTTCTGTATCTAACCATAGGAAGACCACGTACGAGATTGTTGAAGTTTTTGTATAAAGAAGTACGAAGCAGGATGTCAGGCTCTTTAATTTATGTGTTATAAAGTCAGAACTTCGTGCTCCTGTCTCACGAAGAATCCGCTGTCAAACAAAAACATAGAAGTCTGAAGTAAACATAAAGTAAAAGAAATGTATGTATAAAAAATGCGTCCATAGAGATAAGAATGCGTGCTACCTGGTGTGTTACATTGTCCAAACGCACATACTTGATAAAGAATAGCTTCTCTGAAACCGTTCGCCATTAAAACATTTGCTAATATTCTTCGTTTCTATCGCTTCTGTTAGTTCTTTGTGCGATTCTTTTCCTTTATTCTTGACCAGAAACGCACCACTTCACTCTCAGTCAGACAAACTTCCTCACCCTCCCCCCCTCCCACCGACCCAGTATTAAAAAACTCTTCACACCGACAATTTATCCTCATTAATTATGTAGTTTCCAGATGGTCGAGCGGTAGTCGTGGGCGCGCAACGAGTGCAAGTGAGGTCATCGAGGTCGCGGGTTCGAATCACGCAATAGGAGTTATTCTTAATCTGGCTTGGGGGCCGAATAACTTCTCCCCGAGTATGATTTGGAGCTGGCGGACAAGGAGTAACTCTCAAACTGGCAAAATTGCAAAATACAATACAGGGATACAACACAAATAACAGTTGATTTCAAAAGTGTTGAGGACCTGAAAAAATTTACTCTCATTCGTAGGGGTCGAAGTGTTGGTCGAAGTCCTTCAGAGGTAAGAAAAATTTCAACGTTGGGTGGTAAAAAGAAAATACCCAAATAACAAGTGTGACCATGCAGATGAAAATCAAAGATATATACGGTGAAGGAATATAAATGGGGGTATTTTAAACAGGTTTATCGCTTGATCAGTTTACTCCCAGAAGTTGTCAACATGTAGATACATCCTATAGCATTTACACATTATCCAGGAAACAAATATAATGAGAATACTCAAAAGTTGTCATCAAGTAGAAGTTTTTATTTTGATCTAAAACCAAATTCCCGTTACTAATTTACAAAGAAATGAGAAGCTGCTAGCCGGCAGAATTAACAATCAAATATTGGGTGTGAAAGCATTAAAATAATCGATGTCTTTTAGATGGAATATTTGAAATAAATAGTTTTCTTATAAGTTACTGAAGAAATTGATAGGAATACTTTGAACTGCTTTATCGCTTAATCGGTTTACTAATGGGCTCCTGGTATACTCCCACAAGTGATCAACAAGTAACAACATCGTATACTCCCATACTCAAAAGTTGTCATCAAGTAGAAGTTTTTATTTTGATCCAACACCAAATTCCTGTTGCTAATTTACAAAGAAATGAGTTGGTGCTAAAGGGGACAATTAACAATCAAATATTGGGTGTGAAAGAAATAAAATAATCCATGTCTTTTAAATGGAATATTTGAAATAAATAGTTTGCTTATAAGTTACTGAAGAAAATACGTAGAGGTTATCATTTAGTCATGATGAGTATTAATTAGGAGTTTTTCTGCGGACATACAGCGTAAGACCAATACCTGATCTTGGGCTTTGACAGGATGGGTCATATAGAGTATCCACGCCAAAACAGTTGACGCTAGCAGATCTAGAACCATTATGACACACGAGACTTAAGATCGACTGACAATCACAGTTATCGTCATCCAACAGCACCGACTTGACTCCATTCTCCTCACGGTACATGAATGCACGTTGGTCATATTTCGGCTCGCTACCGTTCAACACTTCTGGATTCCGCGCAGGTATGCTGCCTACGCTCTCCCCAGGATCTACCTCCTGGTGATCATTCAAAATTTGTCAAGTGCGACACTACTCGTTTGACTACGGTAATAACTGGTATCAATAGGACTTGAATAATTCCATGAGCAGCAGCATCTTGCACCTGTATTCTTTTGACAGATCTCACTCATTTATATTTATCTTTCTTGTCGTTAAGAAATAGAACTAAATGCCAGCGGAATACAATTACATAACTGGAAAATTTAAGAAACAAACTGATTCTCTTTCACGTGCCAAAGAATGCAATCATTTTATTGATTTGAATTGTTTACAGCTTGCAAAGTTTGAACTCTGTTGTATAATCTTATGGTAGATCGGTCCCTTCTGCAGTCTATCTTGAATTACCTATCAAGAGGTCGTAGTTCATGATCTCTTGATGGTAAGCAACGATATATAACGACAGAAGCATGCAGTATTACAAGCTTCTGATGCTAAAAATGACATATCTTCTGATGAGTTTCAAAGCGACTATAACAGTTGTTTCAAGAAGTGTTGAAGACCTCAAAACTTACGCTCGCCAGTAGGGGTCATAGTGTTGGAATATGACCTCCAGGGCTAAAAATTTCAAGGATCCATCACAAGTTTATGACTTAACTTCACTTTTGTATCAAACTATATACAGTTTTAATCAGGATGACAGACTCTTAAATATACGTGTTAGATGGTCAGAACTACGTGCCCCAGTCTCCTGCATCAAGCTGCAATTCTTGTATTGTGCCAGAAATGAAGAAGCAATAAAAGTTGCATTGCAATTGTTGTAATTTTGGTTTTACAACACTCAATCTAAAAGGGCTCTATAAGTAACAAAAATGAATGTAATAAAGAAAAATTATAATTATCGAAGATGGAGAAGACTGAAACGGATTACATCTGACCAACTTGAATAACTAAGGAAACATTTTTTAGCATGCTCACACATCGATACTCCGCCTACAAGAAGCGAAAGTTTGAGACAGATTATCAACTGCACCACGAGCTTGAAAATTATTGAGGCCATGAGGGGCAGCTTGTTTGATGTTGAGTGTTATTTGAGAGTTTTTCTACGGACATACAGCGTCAGACCAATACCTGATCTTGGTCCGTGACAGCCGGGATCATAAAGTGCATCCACGCCAAAACTGTTGACGTCAGAATATGAAGTATCATGATTAGATTGACACATACCGTGTCCGAGACTTAGGGTTGAATGACAGTCACAGTAATCGTCATCCAACAGCACCGACTTCACTCCATTCTGCTCACGGTACATGAATGCACGTTGGTCATCTTTCGGCTCGCTACCGTTCAGCACTTCTGGATTCCATGCAAGTATGCTTACGCTCTCTCCTTGGTTTACCTCCTTGTGATCATGAAACGCCCGCCAAGCTGCATTGGCAGCTGAAGCGTTGGAACTGAAATTCCACTTGTACGCGGTACCTTCTGAGTCAACTGCAAGCATTTCAGTGAGATCTGCTTTAGCATCTGCAGGGAGCCGACTAAAGCAGTACGGATCACGTGGCTCGCAGTGACCAAAGTCGTAAGCAAGGACGTCTTTTTCATTAGACGGCCACGTGGTACCAACGTCATACCACCAGAAGGCTATCCAGTCTCCATCGGCGGACGGAAGGATTCGACCTACGAGTGCAAACAATGAAACACGCTGAAACACCAGGGATGTGTATGACTCTCCCCTTGGCTAATTTTAATTGAAAAAGTACAACTTTTGTAATGGTAGCTCAAAGGTTCAATCAAATCCGTCGATCCTATGGTAATATCCTCTATGTTTCCAGTAATAGATGCCGTAACTCTTTCACTCTCAGGATCTCATTAGTAGTTCTCCTAACTGTTTGCATATAACTCCTATGATATTAGTTTGGAGAATTAGGTACTGGATCAACTGATAATCCCGTAATTGATATTTTTCTTCATTCTCATCACTTGGCTGCCTGATACTCTATTAATATTGTAAGGAGAAATTCTGTCTTGGTCATTCATGGGAGTAAAAGGGTTAAGAGCATACACCTTCCCACCTCGGGCGCGTCGTAAAGTTTGCTTACACTCGTTTGCATACCACATAAGGTCTTTACTTTTATCTGTGACTCACATGGTTTTCAGAGTCTTCTGTTATTTATCCTGCATGTACTGATAAGCCAATTGTAACTTCAGTAATCAAGTAGTTAAAAATAAGTAAGTCGATCTATTTGAAGTTTCAACATCCCTCCCCCCTCTAAGGTAACCCAGAGGGTATTTGACTGTCGTCCGCGCCCCAGGGGTGGGAAATTTGAACTTTGCCGGGGGTGGGGTGGGGTATTTATACCAGCGGAATACACGTATTTTTTTTATAAATATGGAAGAGTTCCGAGATTTTTTTCTTTCATTAGCAAACGCCTAGAAGACAAATTTCACTTCTAAAAACTATTTAAAAACTATTTTTTGTAAAAAAAACCAAATGACCTCACCTTTTTGACAGTTTTTCAAAACTTTGTATTGCCAAGGGCAACGACATCGGTAGGTATCTTTTTGGTAGTCTGGGATACAGTTTTCTCTATTTAAACATGGTTTATTGTCGCAAGGGCTCTGTAACAGAGACAGGAAATTAATGTATAACAAGAATTTTGCATCTTTACAGCCACTTAAATATTCTTTCAGGCCTTAATCTCAACATTTTAGCGTTCAAAAACCACTAAGTTCGCTATTTCCAAGCAGGCGAAGCAGTACAAGGCTTGACTTTACAAAGCGACTTTTTTTAAAACAAATAAGTTTGTCTACTTTTCGATAGTAATAGCTATAAATGCTCTTTCAAGTTATTGGGAGGCTTTAATCACATCGGCCACAAGGTCTAAGTATCTGGCGATTATTATATACCACACGGATGTTAAGTGCTCTCGTGTGCGCCGATCGGCTAGCTCGAAAAGTTAATAGTAATTAATATTCTTCACCAAAAGGGTCCAAAAAAGTTTAACTAGAAATTTTTCTTTTGACTTTGAATTGACTTGAGGAAGATGTCACCATGTCTTTTGAATAGGTGGTCTTTGTTTGTTATCTATCGATGCAGACCGTTGATTTTGTAAAAATAATGAAATGATAGAGTTGGTTAGACTAACGCTTTGCGATTGAAGTGAAACAGGAGCGTCTTGCTAAGTAATTAGGGCAGCACTCGTTTTTTATATCATTTATCTTACGCTAATGACCAGATCTTAAAACTTTTTAATTAAATTTTTCTGAGAATTCTTCTTTAATTTTGCGGTAAAACTGGTAAACATATTAAATATTTAAACCTTTCAAGTTAGAATTCAATGTATAAATAGGGGTAAAATTTAAATTTGCAACTTAGCAGCTGTGAAGTATTCAGTTACCTTTTAAAGATAACTTATTAAGGCTCTTATCGTGGTTCATTCAAGTTCCTTTCATAACTGAAATTGAACCTTCTTTAGAGCTGATGTGTTGCTGAATGTTTTGAGAACTATTTTCTTTACGTGCAATGCACATATATATATATATTTTTTTTGGAAAAAGGAAAGTAGGTATATAAAACTCGAATTTGAGAAAAACTGATATGAGTTCCAAGCTGATATGCATGACTATATTTAAATAAGTACTTTCTAAATTTTCCGCAAAGCCGTGAAGAAATTTTTGTATTTAGAGAAGATGTTTTTCTTCGTGTCACGAGCGTGGGACTGAAAGAAAGAACATTCTGATTCCCCACGAGGAATCGAACCTCAGACCTTCCGATTCAAAACTTACCATATTTCTAATTCTGTGTACAAACATGACGCTATCGACATCGCTGATCCTAGCGGCAAACAGGATGCTTGTCATGTATATTAACTTCGTAATGGACCTTGTTCACCATAGAGTCTCTTTGGCTTAGTAGTAGAACATCGGAGTGCGGATTCCGATGGTCTGAGGTTCGATTCCTGATTGGAACACAGAATTTTTTCTTTGTCCCACGTTCGTGACAAGACGAAAAACATATTTCTCTATTTGTTAACTATGTTTCAATTTTACAATCTTTCTTATTCTAAATTTAAAATTTGTTGACTTTATTTCTGCCCATTTGGTCCTTCGAAAAAAAAGTTCGTAGAGGTTCATATTGGAGTAAAATGTAGCAAAATCATGTCTGGCAAGATATTATAAAGAGGTTATAAACTTGTGATGTTTGGTTAGTATTCAAAACGCTTAAAATGGGCCAAACTTTCTCTTACCTTTAGCGAGAAATGCACAAATGTCTCATCGAACTTCATCTTTTCAGGAGAATCGTGCTTGTTAGCCTCCAATAGCTGACACTCGGCACCCTCATTTCCACCATAATTGAGTGATGTGCAGCTTTCGTGAACCAAACATCTCTCTAAGCATTCTGTGTATTCATTGGCAGTGCTGGACTGAAGCTGGTTGGTATCCAGTCTTTGCTTTTCGTGTCTGGCAAAATTTGCGAAGCTTATGCCATCGGCAGAATCTCTAACAATTTGCTGCGTTGTCAGCGGTATGGAGAAGAGAAAAATAGTAGAAAAGGAGCGAATAAGCGAAATTGATTCTAGATGCGTCATGACCAACGATGCCCTTCCGGCGACTGAGAGAAGCTCCAGAAATCCTCGTTGGAAACTAGAAATGATTCCTGACGTCATCTGTAACTACGGAGACAAAAAGTGGCGTCATTCGCGTCAAATTTGTGTCGTTCTGTATGTAACCATAGGAAGAGCGTGTTACGAGACTGTTGAAGCTTGCACATAAAGACGTTGACACAAGTAACATGTGCATCAATATTTAGCCAATTCTCCGGTCTCTTCGTCAATTGAGAGGCTATCAGTAAGCGAAGGAATCCATCCTGTCTCTGAAGAGGTAGCACCCTGATCGAGGTTCCCCTTTTAAGATCTTCCCGGTGTGCTTCAGTTCTAAATCTGTTAAGTGCGACTCTACTTGTTTGACTAAAGCAGTTTCCCTTTCACGTTGTTGAAAACTTTTCCTAGATGCGACCCTTGCCTTATTAGCGACAAAGCTGCGAGAGAACAGCCGTGAGTGCTTCAAATGCTTCTCACCCCAAAGTAATCATCATAACAATTTATATTTAACGCCACTTTTAATAAACGCCGCCCTTGATGCTGATGGATGTACAATTACCAATGAACGCCGCTGAAACAAATGCAGTACCCCATTGGAAGAACGCGCGTTTATTTCAGGACTATGAGGAAAAAAATTGAAAGACAGTTTAACTTGTTAGTCTGAGCTATCTTGTTTTGCATATAAAAAGCCAAACAATTACGCTTCTACCTTACCTGAAAAATGAGACTCGGCTAAATTATGTTTCTGTTTGATATGATGTTTACAAATGATTTGACTCCAACCTCGAATAAAAGCCGCACTTTAATTTTACATCGAAATTTTCAAAACTCAATCAACTCCAAATGAGGCAAACTTCTGTGCCGGGGTATTAGGTCAATCGCCACCAGTCTGAGGTGTGTGCTCGCTGGCCATGATGGGAATCTTTGCCAACCATGGCGGCAGAGTTTGAGCTCGGGAAATGCAAGTTGCTGAGATCAAATGCCGATTATTTGCACCAAGTGATTCAAATTTACTACAAAAATAGCGGAAATGAACAGTCAGGTGAACTAGTATGGACTGATGGAGAAAGAGTGTGGTTGTCATTAATGAAATTTACCCGCAAATGGGAAGGAGAGGATTTTTTAGCACAGGAACGCTGTCTAGTTGGAGAATTCGAAAGTCTTGTTATAGGAATATCATGCAGTGCGCTGATCAGAGATTCTACTGGATATTACATTGCAGTTGTTCTAAAGAAAAAAATTGTTGTTCTGTGGAGAAAGATCGGGGAAGCTTTCGTCACCCTGGTGAAAGATTACTTTGTGGAATGTTTACCTCGAGGTTCTGAGTGGCATCCTGATATTCCAATGCTTTCTGTGCTCTCCAAAACATCGGCGGTATTATTATGTTTTTCGGAAGAACACGATTGCAATGTCATCTCAATACAAACTTCACACAGGTAAGCTGTATATAAATCCATTGGCATTAGAGAAGAAAGCGTTAATTTATACTGCAAGATAACAAAATAGTTACCATGAACTTGATTATAATTATACAACTCGTAACCTGAAAATCACAGTGTACCGTGTACTGCAGTGTGAAATATTGACCAGCAACAGACTGAGGGGATTCCATGAATATAGCTGATGGTTATTCTGAGCTTGAATTGCCATAGAATTGTCAAAAACTTAGAAAATTCTTGAAAGGCTTTTTTTGTGTGTTTGGCTTCGTTACTGACGGCTAAGCTGATCAAATGACCAAGCAGGATTTTCTTGCAGGGATTCTGAAGATGTCAATAGCATTCTTCTTTCTGAAAGGGAAAAAGTTAAAAATAGCAACAAATAAAATAAGATCAGTAACAACAGTGCTAAAAAAATTACTGGAAACTAAATGTACTTAACCCTAAGAGTGACCAGCTTCTTATTTCTCTTTACTGTAGTATAATAATAATTAAAATCATGAGTAAAGAGCGATCACCAACTGAAGAAGCTTGGATTGTTAAACAAATTCTCCTAGTCAGCACCAAGGGAAAGACAGTCTAACCTGTATTAAATGTTATTATATTTAATGGTTACCCCATTTAAAATTGTTGGTTGTCAAAGTCCCAAAAATATTTTTTTTTAAGTACTGTAATTTTCACCTCTATTAAGTGGTAGCGCATAACTTAAACTGAGTCCCAATGGCCTGTTTTTTTTTTCCACCTGTATTGAATGGTCATTTATAGTAGAATCTCTCAAATAAAATTAAAAATGATCTTGCAAGTCAATTTATTTCATATTTATCTCCTGAAATCAATGTTAGCACTTTGAGTTTGAATGTCCTTAAGGTATTGCAGATTATCATTCTTCTTTGGACTGTTAGGACAAAATAACGGATTTTATTGCTTTTGACCCCTATTTTGTGGAACCTGAATAAGCAGTCAATCTGTACTAGGTAGTAACCCTGTCATTCCCTGTGGGTAATAGCTTAATACAGGGTTTGACAGTATATAGAAAAGAGTATGGTAATTATGCAATTGATGTTAAGGTCATAAAGGGTTTAAACAACCAAACATGACATGGCAAGGAACCACTCACCACTCATGATGCTCTTATTTTTACCTGTCATTCATCTGGTTTTTTAGAAATTTACACACCTGTGCTTGGAGTAAGGATGGAAGAAGTCTTGCTGTAGCAGTAGAGGACAGTTTGAGTATATTTTCATGGAGAGACCCGAGCAAACCTAATCACTTTACTTGTACACAGTGGAACAGTCTCCAAGTGGTTGGTAAAATAAATTGCATTGTTCCTTGGGAAAGGTCATCATTCATCATTGCTACAGAACTTCCTCTGGATAGGCTATGTTGTAATATTGAAAAGGATGGTGATCTTTTTGAGACAGAAAATTTTCAAGATTTTGATGGAAACAAAGGCACTGATTCTAGTGGCACTTCCATTGCTTCTTCAGAAGATTTTGATTTTACCATTCTTGCTAAATGTGTTGATCAAGGTAAAAATTCATTGTTACACTTGAAGCTAAAGAAACCACAATCTGAAGCCTCTGACAGATTTGCACAAATCATTGCTTTATGTTGTGAAGACGTGAAGCCAAGAGAAGTCTGTAGGACCAGTATAAAAGGACTTGTTTCTCCTGATCTGCTGTTGTTTCAGGTTTGTATTCTCCTATGATAATATATGACACATTAAAGGATTGATGTGCTGCATGCACAAACTTTGGCATCAATTTCAAAACATTGAGGCTAATGAGTCTGGCTCAACTAATAAGATGATAGACCAGAAGTAGTTGTAATTTTTCAAAAGGTTACTTTGTAAGAAATTATCAAAATGAAAAATAGTGAATGGCAGGTGCTGAGCACTGCACCTAGTTGATTAAGTGATTACTGAATGTGTCTTTAATTTAAATGAAAAACGGTGATCTGAGTTTTTAAGCCATATTTAACACCCAAGTCGCAAATGGAGGTCAGGTGCTCAAGGGGCTGGGGGCTGCAACCGCAGTCACACGATGACGCACAATGCAAGCACATGGAAGAACCAATGCATGTACAGACAAAGGTAACCACTGGACACAGCCGGCCCCAGGCCACCAACAGCTACCATATTGCTACAACGCTACAGAATGCACACAAATGCCAGGCAAACACTAATAGAGTGCTAATACACTAACAATACACCAGCCAAATGCAACAGACCAGATTTGCTCCTAGTCATTAACTATGTTAAATTCAATTTAACAATATTTAATCTTCATTTAGTAATGGTGTAAAAAACAGAGTTACAGGCCAAAGGTAGTTCTGATGAACACTGTTGTTAATGATAGTAAATTAAATGATGACAACCTAGTCGGCAGAAATGCTCATCACATTTAGGTAAAGATCTGTTTCTCAGAAACCTGATGCACAGCTTGTCTCCTGACTGTTAATACATGTGACTATCACTGCCATGAGTCAGTTTTGAAATACCTTCAAGCAGAAGCTCATTCTATGTGAGTGATTCTCCCTCCGTTTTTAAGGATTAAAGAAGTATGGACATTTTCACACAATTTTTCTATGGAAGCCCCACCCCTGACAAAAGACAAAAGGGAAAAAATGACAACAAATCAAAGGTTTTGCAATATTGCTCAATTATGGATACAATCTATGATTTTCCCTCACAATTTGCCTCTAAAATCCTGTGCAATTTTTATTTATTTTCTTTACCCTGCCAGAAGCTCAGCTAAGAATGTATAAAATAATGTCAGGCCAGTTATCTACATGTACAGCTCTTGCAGGCACATAAAGTATTGATATATGTACCTGTAGAAGATTAAGATTTTAAGCTAAAAATGTACCGAAAATTACAAAGTATCATTGGTACCTGAATTAACACTTGGTATCTTTTTTTCCTCAGAGTACAACAAAGACAGTTGTGGTTGGAAGCCATTGCTCAAACAAACTTCATTTCTACACATTAAGCACATCAGACACCACAGAGAAAACTAATTTGCTGGAAAACAGAAAGTTCCTTACTCTGGATCCACATTTAAAACCTAAAGGAATTTGTTTCCTTCCTGGATACACCAATGACATCCTTGTGTTACTTGGAAAACCCAGAGAAGTATCAAACATGGTGGCATTTCCACCATCTGCAATTTATGAGCATTATGATGTAAGTTTGAAGAGTTTCAGTGCTGTTCTCAATGAAGGAAACAAGAAGTTGGAGAACAAGTGTGATAAACAAAAAAGCAGCAATCATTATTTTGAACTTGAAGAGAAAATTACGAGCAATGGAAGTACCAATTGTGATGTTCCAGTCCCAAACAATGACTGCTCACTGACATTGAGGCTTCCTGGTGGAAGTATTTTTAATGGACACAGTGAATCAGTCCAAGACATGACGACACCCTTAATATCAGAGTTGGAACTCAATGAGGATAGAAGGTTACCCACAAACTCCAAGGCAACTCTAGAGGGTAAGACACAGACAACAGTATAAACTATGGTAATCGAGACTAATTCAATTAATCAAAATTAAAAAATTAGTTTTGACATATAGAAAGGTTTACTTCCTTTTCTTTCAATTTTTTCTCTTAGTTTCAGGATTCACTTGTACTGACATATTATTTCTTTCTATTTTAACTGAAAAAGCAGCAATTCAAAGAAACAGTTCAGTTGCCAATCTGATTGAGAATACCTTGCAACTGATAAAAATTTCCTTTGAAGGGACTGTGGTATTTTATAAATCTGTAATTATTATCATCATTATCATCATCATCACTGTCATTTTATCTATTAGCCACTTAAGATATAATATTTATACAGGTTTAACAGTATGGTAGGGTGAGGAGACCTCCAAGAAACCACCAGGCTTATTGGGGGAAGCCACCTTTGGTTGTAAATATGTTTGTAACTTAGATTTGGATGTGGATGTGCAGCTTGGCCAATTCAGACTCATTTCATTAAAAAAACAATCATTTATCTTTCAAAAGTAAAAAAGCTAGTCAAACCAGTGATCAATATTGGGAGAGAATTCCAAATTTTAGGACCTTGATAGAGTATTGTAAATTGTTTAAGATTAGTAGGACAGTTATTTGGTTGATAGCAATTGGCTATTCTTGTATCATAAGTGCATACTTGCCTATTTGTAGCGAACAAGCTGAGAAACATCAGAGGCAATAGTTGATTATGATAATAAAACATAAATTTAGCTATTTGTGATGTGCTGACTTGGAAAAGATTTAAGATGCCCAATTTAGCAAATAAAGGGGCAGTGGGCTCTCAATAGTCTGAGTTGTTAATCACTCACACAGCACGTTTTTGTAAATAAAAATTATATTTAAGTTGGTCACATGTGGACAATCAGGTTGAATTACAATAAGTGATATATGGGTAAATTGACGTATAGTACAGAATAAGCTTAGTCTTAGATGAATAGTATAATTAGCCTCAAATGTTATACTGACTGACTCAGGGATTTGTTTAGCTACGAAGCTAATGTAAGGTTTCCATGTTAAATTCTCATAAATGTAAACACCTAAGAATTTTGTTTCATTTACTTCTTTCAATGCTTGATTTCCAAAGGATAGGGAAAAAGATTCACCAAGTTTCTTCTGCCTCTATTTAAAAATAATTTTACTTGTTTTCTTAATATTTACTGAAAGCTTATTGCATTTATTACTATTCTGTAGTTGTTAAAAAAATTAAAATGAAGGTTGATATGTAATGTTAAATTAATTTGTAAGTAAAGTTTTTCTCTTCAATTTTCAGAAACCCTAACCAGTTGGTCTAAAGAAATACAGGATTTAAAGGCAACAGTAACAACATTTGAATCACAGACAAACAAAAGGCTCTCTGCATTGGAGACAAGGATAAAGATATTTACTTTAGGTCAAAAAGAAGATTACAGCCAGAATTTGTATCCATTACAAGAAAAAGCAGGTGCATGATAGTTTTAATTCATCAAAGTATTCCAAGTCCAGTAAATAATCTTTATTAACCTTTTTTTCCCCCAAGAGTGACCATCATCTCCTTACAATATTACCCCTGAATCAAACCTTAAGGTCACAAGTATAAAGGAAGTCGAATGCAACTGACCCAACAAAATCCCCCATCCCCCCTCCTTGCCCAGACGCAAGTCGTATTATAATTACGAGAACGTGATTCCAAAGTTGTTTTTGGTGTAGCCTTTAATCAATAGACACTCTTTTGAAATTGTTTTGATTGGTCCAATTTTGCTCTTGAACAGAATTCGTTTGTGTAGTTTGGACTGACGAACTAACTGGTGCCGTGGAGCAGGAAAATTTCCTGCTCGACAAAGGGCGACTGAAGCTGCAGACAATACAAGAGGCTTTTAATGCTTCTCTCATCAGGATATATATTGGTAAGAGATCCCATTACATGGCTCTAGAATAAATGGATACATTTGCTACATGGATATCCTTACGAAGTAAGGAGACAAGTAAATCAGAATAACTTTTTTTTTATTATTTCAATGGATTAGGGAAATGGTAACTTCTGCGCTCGGTAATAAAATAGAGAACGGTGTCTTCTTGTTTTTCTTTCAAGAGTGTAGGACAAAGAAAAAGTTCTCAGGCCCCTTGAGATCTGTTTACGTACATGACGCTTTCGATTAGGCTAATCCAAGCAGATTGTAGAACGCGTGTGACGGATAAAGCTAGTAACAGCCCATCTTACCATCAACTTCTCTATGGCTCACTGGTAGAGCATCGGAGTGTGGATTCCGAAGGTCTGGCGTTCGATTCCTTTGGATTTGTTTTTCTTTTTTCCGCGCTCATGACGAAACTAGGATTAATTGAATCCCTGCAATGAAAGCTTTCGCGCGCTTTTAACCAATTGCGCCTTTCCTTCAAAAGACATCGCTTTATGCGCCCCATTTTGTCATATGATAATTAAAAAGATTAATAAAACTATTTTTGTTCCTGTTTTAGGTGATGTACCTTGTATTGTTTCCTCTGGAGAAGGTGATTTCGTCCCAATACGTTTTATCAGCGGCTCCACGGTTCAAATGTGTGGACATTCTAAACATCACTCGGCGAACACATGAACTGAAACTTCTTACCTGAATTAATTCCATATAATTGACACGCTGCGGGGAAATACGAGGGAGTGCCAGGTTTTGTGGTTAGGAAGAGAAGAGATCAAGACTTATTTTCCCTTTTTACTCCTTTAACTCCCCTTGCGCCACGCCTTCTCTCAATATGGACAGGAAGCAGACTAAAACTACAGGCTAGTCAGCCATTTTAGCCGGTTACTTTCACCTCATTATACCATAGGTCCTGATGAAAAATCGCAAAAAATTTGAAAAACTATCGCAGAAATTTTTTTCATCCGCCATTTCCTAATGTGAGTTGAATCGAATGCATAATGTTCCAGTAAAAGGTTTATATGTGTATTATGATTCCTTGTTCAGAATTTTCTCGGTGGTGTGCGCAATTTTCTTGGAAAGCATGTGGCATTTTAACTGAGTTGATCCAGGACTAGCGCGTAATCTGACAAAAAAGTGGCGTCCACGATAACTTAGCCACCAACGAGTGCTGTTTGCGGTCCACTGTCAAACTTATAGACCACCCTGTTCACCAGGCTTGCATCATTTAACTTGTGTCTAGAAATGGGCCATTCACTAGGTACCAGCAAGGAAATCTTTCACTGCAAAATATTTGTGACAATTTGAAGTTTAGACTGTAAGGATATGGATGGAGACAGAGGAGACCAGCAAAGAGAAAGGTCCGGTTCGCTAATGACTATTTTTTTGTAATATACAATAAGCGGCGATTGGTGTATCCATTTTAATTTAATAAAGTGCAAAAGAATCGCGCGAAGTCTGGGTTTACAGTGAACTTTTTTGTATATTCTCCCAGCGTCATTTTGTAGTAGTAAATCAACTCCATTAATCTGAATGTTACTCGTTTCGTAAACTTTGCTTGAACTCGTTTTTGGAAGGTTGCCAGACACACTTCCTCTTATTATTGATTTACTTAACGAAATGACACAGGAATGTACTGCGATAGACTGGAGAGATATAACGAAAGAAAAAAAGGGACAAGGACAGGTTGGCTCGCGAGCTAAGTGGTCCAACCTGACAAATCAAGCTCTTATCTGGGTTTTCCTAATCGAAGGGACTTAGAATTGCATTTAGTCCTTTTGAATAGGACGCTATCCTATCTCAAGTTACGACTGTATCTCAGCCCTTCATCAAGTTTTCCTAGCAGTCTAACAGTTCCCATTCACAATCTTGAGTACAATGAGGCATTGTGAGAAGAAGTGTTCTTTCTAAAAACAAAACCAGGGCACCGCTGGGGCTTGGGAACGGACCTCGTGATCCGGAGTAGTATGCGCGCAGGCCATCAGCGATACGGCAAGAACGTTTCTTCCACCGCTAGTAAGTTTAACGCCTTGAACAAAGCGAGCTAGTTAGAGGTCTGTAGATCTGGTACTAATGTTATCAGTACCAGACCACTTGCAGACCTCTCGCCAGCAATCGTTACAGGGTCTCTTTTTTTCTCCATTTAAGGAATGATTCACAAATACACGTCGTTCAAGAAACTCAATCAAAATTTCCCATCGCCCAAACCTTACAAGAGCACTAAGGATTATGGGTCCAATGTATTTTAGAGTTCAGTCTCCCTTAGGCCAACTGACAAAACAAACATGGCGGATGACAGGGAAAATTAGCGCCGAGCAGCAATTTAACTGAAGCAGGCCGATCCAGCTGGAAGATACCGAAATTAGCATGGATCTCATAGAAAGAGTACAAAGGGAACTTTCCAGCGAAGAGCGGTGTATACAAATATCCTTTTATCCATATATTTTAGTAAATTTAGGGTTACAGTTAGCGCTTCAACTTGATGTGTTCACTACGAGTTGGTATGTTCATTCCTATACAAGTTGTTAAGTGGTAAACTCTTTTGGAACTGGTCAAACTCAGGTTGAATTTCAAGATGCTTTCTTTGCTTTTTTTACGTGTAGAAACTTGAGTTGAATTCAGCTTTTGTCAAGATATGCGGTGGAAAGTGAACATTAAATCAAAGATCGTCGCCAGTGCCCAGCTTTGGTGGGAATCGCTAGCTCAGACTGTCCGATTCCGTGTGAAATTTAATGAGGTTTCATTTCAGGGGTGAAATCCTAACAAGGACGAATTATCTAATGGCAGATAATACCGCAACCGAACAGCTGTCACTTGTAAAAGCACTCTACAAGGAAGGTTTCATGAATAATTTAATTCTAATTTCATGACATACGCGCATGTAGTCTCCAAAGGTTAGCTATGAGCTCATAGATTCGGGTTCAGTTATTATGGCGAAATTTTGCTCGATTCTGTCTAATATCAAGCTACCTAATCAATCAATTTTCACTTAGTTGTGATGCTTGAGAAGACCTGTCACCGCTAATGAGACTGCAACATGATTCACTTGTAAGGTAGTCTTCAATTTATCTTTGAATCACTCACGTATTCCAGAGTAACCAAAAGAATGTATATCTATATTTAATATGCTGCAGTTTTTCTGTGAATTTATTACCATAATATATATTTCTAGGTTCAAGACAAATTGCTAGTACATGTACAGTTATTTATTGAATTGTTGAGGCCATTGATAGAGTATTGCTTAGGACATCTGTATACATTTTACAGTTATATTGAGTTATGAATATTGTATCAACATGTTTATGGCTGTAATATATATCATTTTACAGCAGCGAGCTCATGTGTGTCTGTATTGTGTGGTTGTCATTCTGAACTATATTGTTCTCATGTTTTTATTGTTGTTGGGAAACAATCAAGTCTTACCTGACATCCTTTTGTAATCTGACAGCCCATGAAAATGAGCTCGCATTTTCCTTGTAAGTGGGTGGACACTACTTTGTGTGAGCAGATTTATTTTATGCTTTGCAGCAAAACACATTTGTTAAAGTCTAAATTAGATACAACCATTTTTGAAGGCAATTATTTGGTGAGCTAATGAGAACAATGAAAGGCAAAAAATTATCATTATTTATTGACAGTGATTGAATTTAATGATGATGTACTTTCCTTAATATTATTTACTGCACCACTGGAGTTCTACTGAAGGACAACAATAAAGTTAGTTGTCTTATAGCTCTTATTGCAAGGAATCTGGATACTGGGTATGTTCATGATTGTATATAAAAAAAGAGGTGTACATGTAATCATACAAAATTTAATTGTTAGCACCGGTATTTATACTAGATTAAGAGTGGAGCTCATGCTCAAACAATTAATTATATATCTGAGTGTAAGGTCTTCTCTTTTCCTTTTTATTTTCCTTTCCAAACAGATTAATCATCTTCCAGTGGAAAGATGAATCATCTTTTAAAGAACCTTACCTTATTGTCCTGTACATTTTTGCTATTCGAGGACCTTTTTCACTTACATCTGTTGCTGGTATGTTATGCTGAGCACATGTTATTTCATATTTAGCTTGAAATGATTTCTTGGTCAAATTGATTTTAAATTTAAACAAGTGTGATTTTCAAATTCCTCTTGTTTCAGGTTAGACATCATAACTAGTAAACAAGTGTAATGTAAATCAAGCCAGTTCAAAGTCATTTTTGCCTGGAATTCATTTAACCACAATGCTATAATGGTTTAGGTTACATTTTGGAAAGTGGGAAAGCATTTTGTTCAAAAAGTAAATCTATGTGTGAACATTTTATATGCACAGATCAACTCTGATCTACTAGCAGAGGGTGCTGATTTTTATTTATTATTTCATTTGTGCACCTAGATCCACCAAGTAGCAATGGCAGCAGTAAAGAGGGTAATATATTTGTAATAACATTTCACATATCATAAAAAAGATGTTAGGTAATAATCTTGTTAGGAAGGTGTGATTAAAACAAAAATCAGCTTGTTGAATTCTTTGCTTTGATGTTCTACCACACAGCTTCAGAGTTTAGCAGATTAAATATCTTAAGTGATCCTATTGTAATAGGTATTTTGTATGCTTATGCCCAAAAACCCAATTTCACTCCCAGGCCTCGCTTTCAAGGCACTGACTGATTAATTTTCATTATAAAATATTCCCAAACAATGAAATACAGATGCCAATGCAACTAAATTTTTCACTTTGGTGACCAAATCCTGAAAATTAGTTGCCAAATTGGTGACTAGAATGCTTCATCATAACCTTACCTAGAGATAATTAATGATGAATTAAAAAGATTTGCAAAGATAAACCTGCGGCAAACTTCCTTGTTAAGTTTTATGTCCAAAACGTAGTACATGCATCTCGATCAATAACTAGACACAATCTTTGGTTTAGGTGAGCTTGAACATTGTATATCATCCATCCTAGTGTCCACTTTGTAGCATGTTAAAGATCTTTTTCTTGACCAAATTTTGGAGGGTCTATCTAGAGCGCTGTCTTTAAAAATGGCAACGAACTTTTTTTGAATTGGCTACCACTTTGAAAAATTTAGGAGCCAAGTGGCTATCAGAAAAAAAATTAATTTCACGCTATGTATAAAGAAACTATATCAACAGTAGAAACTTGTTGGGTGGCAAGATTTTAATTTTGTTTTGATATCTTCTCCTAGGTATGGTCAGGTTTCAGATCTTGACTGATGACCAGACAAGGCTTCTCTTTGAAGTGAAAAAAGACACTCATGGAAATATGTTCTTACATGAATTGAACAAAGCCATTGGAGGTGAACTAATCTTTTCATCAATTGAACCATTTATTATTTCCAAAATTTGCCCACTTGCAGTAATTTAGGTTTTCTCTTCAGAATCAGTTTCTCTTTCTTATCAAGCAGTATGATAAAACTAGCCTTGTTTGCATCATACTGGAGGGATTGGAAATAGCAGCTTGGTGTATGTTCACAGTTAGGCCTATGGTCCATACTGTCCTGTACTAGAAGTGGTGCTTTTTGTAAAAGCCAAATGAAAGTCACAGCTCCTTCTGCAGGTTTTTCTTTGGTGAAGGGACCAATCGCCCAAACATGTGTCACAATCAGGATTTTTTTTTTACTGTATGTTTTCAAATTTTATTCAACATAGTGTGGAAGGCAATCAAAGTGAAATGGCCAAAGTTGATACATCTGTATGTTTTGCTTTGCTCACATAGCTTACAGACAGAGGGCTCATCTGGTGGGTATGCCTGAATTTGAGTGGCTGAAGAGATATCAGGAGCTGACTGGAAGGAAAAGTTTTTCAAACAAAGGTATATAATTAGAGGGTGTATGGAAAAAACATGATAGGTGATAGAATCCTTAATTCTCCTTTCAAGTTGTTTCACTTTTTTTGTGAAATACAAGGAGAATATACTTTTGCATCAAGAGTTTCTTTATGGTGGCTTTATATCATGCACCTTGTAAATTTGTTAGAGATCTCAACTAACAAAATTATTTATTCAAGTTTTTTCATATATTCTATATACTTGTCTGTAAGAGGGTTTCTAAGGCTTTTTTTTCAAAGCATCAATTTGGTATTTATTTGGAATTGGGAAGGTTTCATCTTATGCTGATTTATATAATAAATAGATGGCTGGCCTTGGAGTCACATTGAAGAAGCAAGTTCTAATGGACCAGAATTTGTTACAGGTACCAAATGAAAATTGTGCTATCAAATTTCTTTTGCAAATGTGAATAGGTTAACTTGGAATTTTCAAATTTTCAAATTTATTGGGCAGCAGAATATCATCTTTTAACTGTATATACAGTTGTATTATTTTCAAAAGAGCTTTTAAATAGCTTACTTTTAATACTTTACGCAGTATTTGGAAACATGAAGGTACAGTATTTATATCACATCACAAATAATAAATATTATCATGTGACCTATATGGCCTTGCTCAATTAATCCTAAAGAAAACCACAATCATATCACCTGGCATGTGAAAGGGCAGGTGGATTGATATGAGCACTTCAGGAAAACAGTTGTGCTTTGCTAACCCTAAGCATTTGAGCAACACTGCTGCATTTTCTAAGAATGCTATTTCTGCTTTTGGACTTGAACTAAAAAAAAAAAAAATGAGACAAACAGAAATGGGAAAGTAAGCAGGTATTATGCAGCAATTATTTTCATTCTAGCCACTGAATCCAAAGTTGATGAAGGATCCCTGGATGCGTTTGGAATGCCAGGTTTTTCACCATCCCCTACCATCCACCCATCATTTTCATCAGCAAGTCTTACTGCATCTGATGAAGTGGATAAAGGTATGGCCAACTCACCAGCTTTAACCAGGAGATCCATCCTTCCAACTAGTATTGGTGCCAGAGATGGGTTTATTAAGCTCCACATGGCTGCAAGGGAGGAAGAGTACACCCACGTAAAAACACTAAAGTAAGCTGACATGTTCCTTTTGGTTTTATGTTTAAAAAAAGGAAAAAAACTTGAAGGGCATGGTGACACTAACAAGTTATGCCATTTTCACTCTACTGAGGAGAAATTGAAAATTGAATTTTAATCAGGAGAAGTTACAAATCTTCTCTCCAAACACAGAATACATAAAATGCAATGCTTTCCTGTTTAACCTCACCAGATAAATTTGAAAGCCCAAAAATTGCTGACAGTGTAATTAATTGGCTGCATCCTTGATTGTACATTTGACTCTGGCAATATGAAAAGCTGTATGTTCCATTGTAGGCAGTTTTAAGAGCAATATTTAGTGAATGTTTTGATAAGTTTGGACAGGGGGCCTAAATATAGGAACAAAGCAAAGATATCTTATAGAGTGAAGTGGATGAACACTTTCTGAAAAGGTCATACAAATGCTCACAATACTTTAGGTGTGCTTACTATATGGTGGTACAGTATTTTGAAAATGAAATTTTGACAAATAGATACACTTGGGCAACGGAAATAATTATATATAAATTTTGCTATCAATGTACAACAAGAACAACAAATGTACAACTGGATCCTCTTGTGCAATGGATCTACATGACATCTAACTGTACTATCAATGTACAACACAGTAACATAGTTTTAACCCTTTAACTCCCAAAATCTCATTAGTATTTCTCCTTACTGTCTGTCAAATGATCATTGATTCATTATTTAGTTGGAGAATTTGGTATTGGATCAATTAGTAATCCCAAAATCGACATTTTTCTTTATTCTCATCACTTGTCTGCATGGTATTGTTTAGAAATTATGAGGAGAAATTCTGCCTTGGTCACTCATGGGAGTTAGAGGTTTAACTGTAGTGATTGTCCTTAAGCCAAAGTGTTTCAATTGTCTGACTCCTTTCATTGTGATTTGCATCTTTAGGATCTTTGTTGGGTCATGGAATGTTAATGGTCAGTATCCTGCAGAGGATGTTACACCTTGGCTAGCAGTTAATAAAGATCCTCCTGACGTTTTCTGCCTAGGGTAGGATGTTGTTCTGACCTGCTCGTTAATTTTAGTGTAGTGTAGTGACAAACCTGTAGCACATTTACAGTTTGCTAAATATCTAATATGTGTTTTATTCAATTGCACCATCCACTCTTTCATAATGGCATCAACAGAAGGTGGGTTGTTTTGCAGTATATACCTTGGAAGACAAAATGAACACTTTAATCGCACAGTGTTGATTTAAAATGCAATCCAATTAAGACAGTTTTAACTGTTTTTATTCAGTTTGTGAACTCTTGTAATTGCAATTTGTACTATCCTTTTTTCCCAGTTTTCAAGAACTTGATCTCAGTGCTGAGACACTGTTAAAGAATGTTACTCCTAGAGAGGATGAATGGCTTAAAATTTCAGAGAAAGGAC